ACACACACACACACACACACACACACACACACACACACACACACACATATATATATATATATATATATATATATGTACATATATATATATAGATATATATATATATATACACATACATACATACAGGCAAATACCCATATACATGAAATAAAAGGAAATATGTCTGCCTTTGAAAAAAACAAAACAAAACAAAAAAACAGTGCATTCACAAAGTCGAGGCAGGAAAATTACCACATACTTAAGGCTAGTCTTATGTATGTCTTGAAAGCTTATCTTAAAATAATAATAATAATAATAATAATAATAATAATAATAATAATAAACACCACAACAAGGGGAAAAACAAACAGCTCTTGGATTGAAGCATCTTCTTGTCTAATTAAAAACACAGCATCATGACTATCTCACTCTGCACATGTGAGACTATCTATAGATTTTGAACTATTTCCTGATTAAAGGATAAATGTTGAAAGGAGAAGGTCTCATTCAACTGTACACGTTGAAGTCTTATTATAGGCCATCCCAGAAGTCATGAACATGAAGAATCATGTGGAATACTATGACTAGGCAACTTAATTTTTTCCTGCCCTGCTCCAAGTTCTTTTACATGTGGCAGGAAACCAAAGACTGCAAATACACAGACAGCAGAAAGAGACCACCAGGGTTCCACCCTCCAGGGCCACTATACCGGTGTCTGACATTGCATCTTTATCTGTTCATCTGCCAAAATACACCTATAGCATTTCCCCTCAGTGCTGAGATTGAACCAACGGCCTCACACACGATAGGCAAAGGCTTTAATATAGACCTACACCTGAGCTGTATCCCAAGGTTGGGGTGTGGGTCAGTGCTGCAATACAGACTTAGCATGGGCCAGGTCCTGCTTCAGTCGTCAGCACAGCAAAATTTAATAAAAGGTGAAAGGACACTCATTTTCTGCTATTTCTTCTGTTTATTCAGCAATGTATCATACATCACTCTAATGTTCTACCACATAGATTCATGTGACTCAAGCCCTCGGGAAGTCATTCTTTTGCACTGTGGCTACAACTCAGAAGCAAATCAGGTCCTGGATTTGATCCCTAGCACAGGACATAGGTCTTCAAGGTGGTTTTTACACACCTGTTTTATTTCTGCCTTAAAGGCATTTCTAATACCAATTGTGTGATTTCTCTTTAGATACAAAATCAAAGATAAATCTTTTTAAACTTTCTCCCACATTGGTTTGTGGGTTTCTGCCCTCAGTGAGGTATGTGATTTTACCACTGGGCTACATCTTCACCATATGAAACTGATGTGCAACCAAGCTAAGTTTACTTACGTGACTGCATACTGAGCAAAAGATAGATACTCCACAAGAACATCCAGGCCTTTGTTTTCTTCATTCAAAAACTCTCTGACCCATCTGGGGAAAGAAAAAAAAAATCACTGTTGACATTGATCATAGGTCTATGGAAAGGATATAGTGAATAGTTTGTTTTTTTTTTTTTTTCCTCAAAACATCCAAAGTCTGAAAGGAAATGTAGAAGAAGGCCTTGACTATTTCACAAGAAGTAGGCATGTCTGGACAGGGTATGAAAACCATAGATTATGACAGGCAGGGGTAGTGTATGCCTTTAATCCCAGCAATTGGGAGGATCTCTGAGTTTGAGGCCAGCCTGGTCTACAGAATGTGTTCCAGGACAGCCAAGGCTGCACAGATAAAACCCTGTCTCAAAAAATGAACGAAAGAAAGAAAAAGAATGGAAAGAAGACAGGAAGGCAGAAAGGTAGGAAGGAAAAGGAAGGAAGGAAGGAAGGAAGGAAGGAAGGAAGGAAGGAAGGAAGGAAGGAAGGAAGGAAGGAAGGAAGGAGAAAGGAAGGAGAAAGGAAGGAGAAAAGAAAGAAAGAAAGAAAGAAAGAAAGAAAGAAAGAAAGAAAGAAAGAAAGAAAGAAAGAAAGAAGGAAGGAAGGAAAGAAGAGTCACTCATGAGGATAAGGAGCAAAGAAACACTTGCACAATAACCCCATCCTTGTATTTGACTGTCTAAAGACTTTTAAGACAAGCTATTTCAAAGAGGTTTCTAACAAAAGCACTTTGTCTAAATGTACTTTTCAACCATAAGTGAACGCTAGCCTTGTTGTTGAAAGAACCAAGACTAGACAAAGAATAAGGCAGACTAAGGACATGGTACTGTAGCCACTGCGATCTAGGCCTGACTCCAAATCTACGCTCATTCCTTTTTGGCATACCCAGCTAAAGAAACCACTAAACCACCAATGAGAGGCCAATGCTTATGGCCTTCTGGAAATTCAATAGGGATAACGGCTTGCTTAATTTTTTCCACGACTATGAAAGCCTTTAAAAGACAGCAGGTACCACAGACCATCAGCAGGGATAACACATGACAAATACTTTCAAAGATTCTTTTAGCTTTTAGCTTGCATTTGAGTGCTGTGTTACAGTTCGCCAAGAATAGCCACACATTTGTATTTGCTGTCCAAAATGACTCCAAAAGACAAACGAATCCACATTTTTGAAGCCTGAGGACAAAATTCTGTCACCTGACTTTACACAGTTCCCCCCCCCCATGCATTCCTCATCAGAAACTATGCAGATACCAGGGACTGTGTGTGTTCTGTACGTATTTTGTGTGTGTGTGTGTGTGTGTGTGTGTGTGTGTGTGTGTGTGTGTGTATCAAGGACTCTGTGGGTATATCAGAAGAATCCATCACTCAGTGTTTGAAGCTCCAAGAACTGACGGGTAGAAAATATGGCTGCACTCACTGTAATAACGCAAGAGCCACGGGAACATGCTGAAATCCAAAGCAGTTGTAGCACTCTGGGAACACTGAGTCAAAAGGCTGCCCAGCTACGGCTGCACCACAGCTACTGTGGAAGCCATACTTCCTAGCTGGGAAAGCAGCAGCCCAACAATGGTCCCATGTCTAAGAAAGAGCAGTACCTTGAGAGATTTCTGGTACAATAAGAATCTAGTAGGTTCCAGATGCCTTGTTTGTTGTTTGGTTGATTTTCTGGTCTACTACTTCTGTTTCCTCTCTTTGGCCCTTCATCATCTTGATGGTGCAGATCCAGGTATACAGGAAGTATCAGGAGTCAGGCAGGAAGGTGAAAAACTGGACACCCTGACTTACATTCTTCTAAGTGCTTCAGTGAGCTACCACAAAAGCTGTGCATTTAACCATAGCTGTGTATAAACAAACATTTAAAAGGCGCCTGGAATGTCAACATCAGCAAAGGAACCCCATCTGTTGGGTCTCACAAAACATCTTTGTTAATAGACCTAAACACAGTACACAGGACTGTCTTCTGGTAGAGGCAGAAGTTTCTAGGACAGCTACACATAGGATCTCACCACAACCACTTCCAGATACTTGTTAATTCCCCCTAAACAGCAAAGTCTCCATTTTTAAATTATGAACATTTTTAAATGACGACAGTCAGAAGCTTAGAAACAGACGGGGAAAACATATTTCTTATAACTGACAGGGGGCTTGAAAATGCTAGCACCTCTGTGAACGCCTGTGGTGGCCTTTCGATCCTTCCTCTTTGCTTCTCCACTGCTCCTACTGTACACTATTCTGTTTGGTTGCTCACTAATGCAGGAGTTTAGAATAGCCATTGAGGTTCCTTCTGCAGACACTTCCACAAAGAGCACAGATACCCAAGGGTGCCATGAGTTCCTGCTACTATGCACTCACCGGCACCACCATCTCATGTAGACAGGAGAGTCGGCCACAACCTGCACAGGAGGAAACTTGACCCAGACACGAGGAACTTGACCTTCAACAAAGCAGGAAATAGCCAAAAATGGCAGGTCTATGAATCTTTTGATTCAGCATGCTAACATGTGTGGCAGATTTTGATGCAAGCAAAGGTTTAATTTGATTCTTTACTCCAACATGCTAATTGATGTCCCATTTGCTAACTATGAGCAAAAGCCCCAGAGAGGTAATTTTCAAAGTGAGATTGGAACCTGCTGCTTAGGCCCTAAAGTGGCATAACTTGCCCCTGGTTTAATGTAACAAAATGGATTCTGGTCCTAAGGTTGCATGATCCTCCTTGGATATTTAATGTCACTTCAATAACCTAAGTGATTTAGGAAAGACTGAGACATAATGCATTCACCACTGATTATTCTGCCTCGTTTGTCAATGATGCTCATTTAGCTAAGTCGCTCCATAGTAAGTGTACGGATCATAAGAAAAGTCAAGCCTCTCTCTTTTCCCATCCTCTTGGTAGAAACCCCTTCTGACAGGGAAATTCAGCATGGGTGAGAACAGTCCAGAGTGATCATCCAGAACTGTAAGAGGAAGGAAAGAAAATGGGAAAAGATGTAAAGTGGCAGATGTTAAAGGGGTGTCTTAAATATCAGGGACCAAAAGAAATATGGGGCCCAGAGACTTGACCCAACAGGTAAAGACTCTGCCTCATGAATTCAATCCCTGAGACCCAAACAGCAGAAGAAAGAACCAACTGCTGCTAGGAGTTGTCTTCTGATCTTCCCATATGCCCTGCCCCCATGCACAAAAAAATAAAATAAAATAAAAATGATGGGGGCTGGGAATGGACACTTCATGCCTTAATTTCTGCATTTGATCATACAGTGAGCCTGTCACATCTGTGGAGCTCCATTCTCCTCTCTGTGCATGCTCTAATCTGTTTTATACATTGCCAATAGGCAAACAGCTTCAAATTGAGTGATTATAGGTTTTGGAAAACAGAATTATTTCTGACTCTGACAGCATGTATTACTTCCTAAGTGCCTTGCAAATTCAAATGTGATTACCATATGTTATAAATTTGAGTTTAGGCAAATTCCAAATCAGATGCTTGGAAGCTTGGAGAGACAGGGATAATGAGAAAGTGTTCTGGAAAAAACTGTAGCCAAAGAAAGACTTTACATGCAAACAAGTCAGAACTGAAGTACACGCTGCTCACAATGTGCTCTCAAAGTTTTGTTCTCCCTGCCTCCCAAAATCTTAGAGGCAAATTTCTTCATACAGAAAATGAAGTCTTAAAAACCCCCTCCTGATATACAACATCCAAGTTCAAGCAAATGGCAAGATGAACAAAAGAGAGACGTCTTACTCCCTTTGCCAGGCTGTTGAAGAGGAAAGTCTGATCGTCAGATGGCTGGCTGGAACAAAAGCTGCTGAAAAATCAGGGCACAAGAGAGAGGTCAGCATCACCCAGAGTCAGCCAAAGCCAGTACTGTACTGTGCACAGTTCTCAAAGTGTACCCATCACTGTTCGGAGTCCTGCAAGGTCTCTCAGCATACCTCTCAGAAGTATTGATACATACAAAGCCTTGGGTTTAAACTTTAAAAAAAAAAAAAATCTGATCAAAAACCAAACAAACAAAAAACCTGACCCTGTGATCCTGACACACTTCGATTCGAAGGAGACCAGGTAACAGTGCTGAGGCAACACATGGATTTATTTATCACATCCTTCACCCAATGCAATGATGGGACAAAAGCATTTCTGCTGAAGAATATCCTCAGTAAAGTGATTTATTAAAGATGGATGGTGAGTACACATCTTTCTGTTCTTTGTGACAAAATTAGAAGCCATGTGAAAAACATCTGCTGCCTACCCATGCACCTGGGCAGTCTTGTGCAGGGCAAGACTGCACAAGAGGAGTCATTTTTGGTAAGGGAGGAACCATTTTTGTAAAAATGACTTACAAATGGTGCTGATAACATTTGAGGGACTTGAAAGACATTTCCTCAAAAATGAATGAAGTCAGCCTGTTGCTTTGGGGAAAACATAATATGTGTCACTACTAATAAACTTTCAGCTTAAATGAAATTAAGAATTTAGGAAAACCAGTACTTATACTAGTTTGATAGCTTCATAATGATTAAAAGTGTATCCTGATGGCAGCGGTGGTTATTAACAAAAATGATTTTTAAAAATATTATAGCTGGGCAGTGGTGTCACACATCTTTAATTACAGCACTTGGAGGCAGATACAGGTGGATCACTGTGAGTTCAAGGCCAGCCTGCTCTACAGAGGGAGTTTAAGGACAGCCAACTCTACAAAAAGAAACCCTGTCTTAAACAACAACAACAACAAATTGTAGAATGACATGTTTCAACACTGGAAAGAGCAGAAGCCTCGGTGAGTCTGCTTTCCAAAAGATCAGTTCAGGAATCACGTTACAGGATCCATGAGTAAAAACATATACTCAGGGCAGGAGACAGCATAGTGAATTTTATTTATTCATTCACTTTACATCCTGATTGCAGGCCTGCACCTCCCAGTCCCACCCCCTCTTACATGCCCCTTAACCCATCTTCCCATATCCTTCCTCAGAGAAGGGGGAAGACCCCATGGGTACCAACACACCCTGGCACAATAAGTTGCTGCAGGACTAGGCGCATCCTTTCCCAGTGAG